TAAATTTAAATTAAAAAAAAATTAAAAAATAAATTTAAAGCTAGTATGGACAAGATTAGTTAGTAAACTAGTTTGGATTGATAAACTATAAATCTTCTTGAGGGAAGACCCCTCTTTCTCTTCCTTAAGCTTTAAGGACAGCTTTGGTATCACAAGAAAGATTATGCATGCACATAATATTTTCTTTGTAAATGCATGCTAAGATTATTTTTGTAAGAATGAAAATAATAGAGTGTTATGAATATAAAATTATTACAGAAATTGAACTGTGGCAAAATGAATACCACAGATAAAAAGATTGATAAATTAATGTGGCTTCATTAGGATGGACCAGAAAGTGTTTCACTGCGGATAACTAGCTTAATAGCTAACAACCTGTCTACAACAGCCACAGTATACTAATAACTAATATAATTAATTATCTTAATAAGTAATGACCTATCTAAAATTGTTTTCTTGCTTTTTTTCCTTACTTTTAATTGATTTATTTCTTAAGAAGGAAATTTTTAAAATAGTTGTTTTGAGGAAATAAAACAATTAGGAGTATCCTGATGAAGTATATGCCACCTTGAACCTTAAAAGGATATAATGGCAGTAGGGAAAAACTAACCTTAATCAAATGTCTTGGGTTAATTCCTAGGATGGGTAAACCGTTTAAAATGAAAGGGGGATGGGCAAGAAGGGATTTAAATATGGTAGTCTTCTCAAGCTCGTGTAAAGAATAACATCAAAATGGAAGATATGGGGAAATGCCATTCTCATTGAAACAAAGAAATAGAAATATTTTCAGATTATACTTGTGAGGATTGCCCTCTGGACCAGAGGAGACTCATCACTGCTCAGATGGTCACAGCCTCCAACATTGCAAGTTTTCTGAAAAGTGCATGTCAGGGTCTTGAAGAGGCCCATCCTGTGATCTTTTGGTTAGAGCAGCTGTGTCTATAGATGTATGAACAATCAAATCAGGTTAGGAGCACGTAGCTTCTTTCTGCAGATCTAGTTCAGCACTGGTTAAGAAATTCAGGGAGAGTTACCTGAGGTAGCACTTGATTCTTACCACCTGCCTCCCACTGGAGGCTCAGCTGTGAGTTGACTCTGGCTTGTCAGTGAGTTTTAATTGAGTTTGAGTTCTTAAACGGGCTACAAAAACTGATACACAGAGAGCCTTGCGAATAGATACAAACAAAATTAATTCACAAGTGTGTTATTTTTCTTCTGTGGCTATGAACCAGTTGGTAGTTTCCCCAAGTGATTATGTTGTTTTTAGATGCCATTGAGATTGGACACTAACTATGCAGAGTGGGTGGAGACTGGGTAGTCATTGCAGGTAGTCTACTTGAAGGCCAAACGTGGGAAGGATGGGGGCATGCAGATGTGTTGCAGATGGTAGTTGGTATTTAATGTTAAATTAACATAATTTTTTTTGTAGTCTTAATGACCAATCAATCTACAGGTACAATAAATCGATGATTTGTGTAGATATCAATATGAATGTTGTGTGTTAATATACATATATTTTATGAATATGAAGTTTTTCTTTTTGTAATTTCTTAGGTAAGGGTAAAACTGCCTAGTGATGGTTCTCTTTTTCAAGATAAAGATGGGCAGTTTCTTCCCATGTGATTAAGTTGCTTCTGAAAACCCACTGGAGGGTCAGCTATGGGTCAGTTCTGACTCAACAACAACAGTGGTAATAGGCCTGGTTTCATCTTTTTCGTTTTGACTACTTATTAACCCCTCATCAGAAAGTAGTTAGAGAGAAAAGTAATTGAAATCCAATTTTCAAATGGAATGCTGCTGCTGTTGCTGTTGTTAACTACTGCTGGGTCAGAACTAACCCATTAGCGAGTTTCCAGAGGCTGTAAGAGAACCCTGCCTATCTTTCTTCTAGGGGGGAGCTGTTGGAGTCCAACATCATTCCTTTGAGTTGGCAGCGCACTTCCTTACCACTGAGTCACTTGTGTTCTAAAACGGAACAGTTTATCTTTTCTATTTTCTTTAGACTCATTCACTTCTCGACACATGATTATTGGGAAAATTTGCTGAGTTACTTTATATTTTTTGCATCCTCCATGGTCAAAGAACCACTGCCACATGGCATCTCACTCGGGGGTTTTGGATCCAGACACAAGCTGCTGTTGAGTCAGTTCAGACACAGGATAGCCCAGTGATGTCAGAATAAAACTGCCTCTTCAAGTTTTCAGTGGTTGAAGCAGATTGCTAGGTCTTTCTTTCAAGGTCCTCCAAGTGGACAGGAGTCTCTGACCTTCCATTTAACAACCTACTGCATTAAATGGACAGCAGACTTAAAAAAAGATCAAGTATCAATGTTAAGAAAACAAAAATTCTCACCACTGGACCAGTCGGTAGCATCAGGATGGATGGCGAAGAGATTGAGATCGTTCACAGCTTCAGTTTGCTCGGCTCCACGGTCAACATTCTTGGCACCAGTAGCCAGGAAATCAAAAAACGTATTGCGATGGGAAAGTCTGTACTCAAGAGCAACAGTGTCTCTCTGGAGACTAAGGTCTGCCTGATACAGGCCATGGTCTTTGCAATCACTTGTTATGCATCAGAGAGTTGGACAATGACTAGGGAGGATAGAAGGAGAATTGACGCCTTTGAGCTGTGGTGCTGGAGAAGAATATTGAATGTACCATAGACTGCCAAGAAAACAAACAGATTCATCGTAGAGAGGATTAAACCAGGCTGCTCCTTGGAGGCAAGGATTCTGGGGCTTCGTCTGACATACTTCGGACATGTTGTAAGGAGAGACAGGTCTTTAGAGAGGGACATCATGCTGGGTAGAGTGGAGGGACAGCGCAGGAGGGGAAGACCCTCTATGAGGTGGATTGATTCAGTGACTGGGGTACTCGGGATGGGTGTGTCAGAGGCAATGAGATTGGCACAGGATAGAGCACGGTTTAGGGCTGTTGTACATAGGGTCACTATGAATCGCAAATGACTCGACGGCACATAACAACAACAACATCTTCAAGCTAATTCTGACTCCGTGCGTGTCAAAGTAGAGCTTCATTCCTTTAGGTTTTTGTTGGTTGTGATCTTTTGGACATAGATTTTCAAAACTTTTTTAACCTTTTGGTTAGTAGCTAAGTAAATATGTTTTTTGGTTTTTTTTGTTACCCAGACAGTTCTTAAATGCCAAAAAACCCACATAACTTGCTGCCACTGAGTTGGCTCTCATAGTGACATTATGGTTCAAAAATCAAGAAAGGAGTGCATCAGGGATGCATCTTTTCTCCACACCTTTTCAGTCTATATGCTGAACAAATCATTTGGGAAGCTGGCCTTTATGAAGAAGAACATGCCATCAGGCTCAGAGGAAGACTCAATAATAAGCTGTGTTACGCAGATGACTCAGTGTTACTCACCAAAACTAAGGATTTGAGATGCTTGCTGTAGAAGATCTAGGACTGCAGCCTTCAATATGGATTTCATTTCAACCCCAGGAAAGCAAAGATCCTCACCCCCAGGTCAATAGACAGTATCATGATAGATAGATAGAGAAAAGTGTAAAGTTGTTAACAATTTAATCTTTCTGGAATCCCAATCAACAATCTTGGAAATCAAAAGACAAGTTGAATTGGGAAAATAAGCTGCTGTCAGGGACCTCTCTTAGAGTATTAAAGAGTAAGGATATCAGTCTAGAGACTGCCTGGTCTGGGCCATGGTCTTCTCAGTTCTTGCTCTGCGTCTGAGAGCTGGATAATGAATAAGAATGACAGAGGAAAAATCAATGCTTTTGATTTTATGATGCTGGAGAAGAGTGTTGACCATACCATCGACTGCCAGGAGAACAAACAGGTCTGCAGTGGAGAGGGTGAAACCAGTTTGCGCCTTGGAGGCAAGGATTCTGAAGCTCTTTCTCACATATTTGGGCATGTTGCCAAGAGGGATGAGACCTTCGAGAAGGATATCATACTTGGAAGGGTTGAGGATCAGTGTAGAAGAGGAAGACCCTGGATAAAATGAATTGACACAGTGGCTGTGGCAGTGGGTTCAGGTGTGTCAGGGAAGGTGACCTTGGCTCTGGACACAGCAAAGTTCAGAGTATTGTTCATAGGATTGCTGTGACTTGTAGTTGACTTAACAGGTCATAGCAGCAACCACAAATCTCTGTAGAAAAACAGCTCATAGCAGCAACCACAAATCTCTGTAGACGTACCCTGCCTTCTCTTTCTATTGTAGAGTAACTTGTGGGTATGAACCAGTGCACCATTTGACATAGCAGTGGACTCCTTGAACTACTGTGTTGCAAGAGATTCTCAGATGGCATAGTCGATAAATGAATGTTAAAAATTTCAATTTAAGATTTTCTGAAAAGCTAGTACTTAGGAGCAATGCATTGCTTTTCCCAATGTTATTGATATTGCAGATAACCATGCATAAAGATAATTATGCATGAGTTTATATAAAAAGTTTGTTGTTGTTATGTGCCATTGAGTTGCCTGCAACTCATCGTGACCCAGTCCTGAGCTAATCTCACCATCTCTGACACACCTACCCCACATTACCCCAGTCACTGAATCAATCCATCTCATTGAGGGTCTTCCCCTCATGCACTATCCTTCCACCCTCCTAAGCACGATGTCCCTCTCCAAGGACTGATCCCTCCTTGTAACATGTCCAAAGTATGTCAAATGAAGCTTCAGAATCCTTGCCTCTTAAGTAGCAGCCTGGTTTCACCCTCTCCAGGACAAATTTGTTCATTTTCTTAGCAGTCCACGGTATGCTCAATACTCTTCTCCAACACCACAGCTCAAAGGCATTAATTCTCCTTCTATCATCCCTAGTTATTGTCCAGCTCTCTGATGCATAGCAAGTGATTGCAAAGACCATGGTCTGTATCAGAAGCACCTTAGTCTCCAGACTGACATCCTTGCACTTCAGGACTTTAGAGAGGTCTCTAACCACAGACTTTCCCATCGCAATATGTCTCTTAATTTCCGGGCTGCTGGTGCCAAAAGTGTTGACTGTGAAGCCAAGCAAATAAAAACTGTGAACAGTCTCAATCTCTTCATCCATTATGATGCTTCCCATTGGCCCAGTGGTGAGAATCTTTGTTTTCTTGATATTGAGCCTCAGTCCATACTGAAGATTGCAGTCCTTGACCTTCCACAGCAAGTGCTTCAGGTCCTCCTCAGTTTCAGCAAGCAGGGTTGTGTCATCTGCATAACACAGATTGCTGATGATTCTTCCTCCAATCCTGATGCCACCTTTCTCCTCCTAGAGCCCAGCCTCCTGGATAATTTGTTCTTCATAAAGATTGAAAAGATGTGGAGACAGGATGCAGCCCTGGTGCACACCCTTCCCGATTTTGAAACATGCAGTGATTCCCTGTTTAATAGTATATACATTTCCATGTAATTAACTTTTAAAATTGTGACTTTTAATGATAAAATCAACCTTACCTAGGATTTAATTATTTAGCCAACTTCATTAAAATGGATGGTTTTTTTGTTATGTACTTACAACTGAATCTAATCAATATGAAAGTGTAATAGTTGAATAAAGTCTTTTGTTAACTTGACCAATGGATTTAATTATAATAATACTTTTAGCTGTAATGATGTTTATTATGTCTACAGTGTATCTTACAGTCAAACAATTGGTGAAATCAGTGTTTTCTTTTCTCAGGTACTGTATAAGTCGACCACAATATAAGACTTCTTGTGGTATCTCCTCATTAATTTCTTGTTGGAATTTCTTATATAGTACAATGGGAGCAGGAAAGTAAGTATATAAATTTTTTGCTACCCTCAAACTTTAAATTCAAAGACGATTTGGTGATCATTCTCTATAATGCAAGATTTTTATATTTGTAAGAACAAATTTTTTTTTTGTAAAGATTTTTTATTCATAAATAGTACAGAAACAGAAATTTACTTCGATTTTTTTTAACATAAGTTATCACGTTTGTCTGAGGCACCAATACATTCACATACAGATTCCCAGTTCCCAGGTTCCGTCAGCAGGTTAATGTTAACAAGATCAGTGCATTTCAAATTTCTTTAACATTAAACCTTTTAAGAAAACAATTCCCTCCTGGTAAAGAACTCTTACGTTCTAAAACACTACCACCTTTGGCCTTGTATTTATTGTAAGCCACATTCCTTGTTAAGGAATTTTGGGAAGTAGTTCTTCTGAGGGATTTTTGGGGGACATTCAAACCTCCCAACTCAAGGTTAGCAGCAGAGTGGGTAACATGTTTTCACCACTCAGGCATTAAATAGTCGTCCTGAGCTGAGGTTTCCCCGAATA